ACCCTCCTGTGTAACTCGCAGAATCGCCCTCGAGAACACCCAGAAGTTTTTAAGCGCAACGTCGAAACAAATAGTCACTCGTGCATTGTGTTTGCGCGCTGCTTTGATGTGTGGACGCTAGTGCCATATAGCCACATATGTGTTTTCGCATCGAATCTAACCGTCTGCAAGTCACAGATGGTTGTATTATCTTCATGCAAACATTGTTGGTTTCGGCATCTTCTCAGTTTGTGATTTTTTGGTTCTCGTTTATTGATCAACCTCCCATTTTGCCCCTGCTTGGTGGTATCTGTTCTCTAAGGGTCATGGATTGGCAGTAGTTCGTTGACTGCTGGTCGTTGACGGTTCTGATCTGATCCGTGGTTCTACTGTCAGCATCAATTCTGGTTGACCTCTGGCTTAGCTCGGCATGGTACTTGGTTTTGTGGTGCTATATATCTAGGTGCTCACATTTTTCTACGATGTGATCTTATTGGGTTGGGATATCAAGAGAACGAAATCCTATGACTCAACATTTCCCGCTGGGAATCTTATCATGGGATCTTCCGAACTCGATGGCAGCTGCTAAAGGTCTCCATTGAACAATCCTGTACACAGCATGTATCCACGATTGAATCCGACGAGTTATCATCACTATCGGGACATTGTCACACAACACGATCAAAGACACTTTCTCATACTATCTTGGGGAATATTGAAACATATCCAGAGCGGATCACCTGTTAAACGAGTGCACATGGAAACTGGTTTCATCTGGACAAAACTAATGCCTGTAATTGCACGTCGAATGGGTAGTATCCCAAGCCGTACAGTTCAAATTCGGCACTTTTCAACTCGGGCACTTTTTTTTCGTACAATTCCCTGCTCGGACACCGTCTTTCGGGCAATATAATCCCAGACACTATTAGGCGAGTTTTCTCAGACAATTCCAAAGTCGTACAATGTAACGGAAAACTCTCGTGCACTTTAATCCCATACAGTGCAAACTCATGCAGTGTTAACTCATCCACCCGATTTTTTTCACTATAGTTTCGCGAATCATTCGCGAAACTATAGTGAAAAAAATCGCGCGCGCTCCG